CAATATTGAATCAAATGAACCATTTTGATTTCATTGGTCTTAGATTGCTTATTTAACATAACACCAAAAATATCACATTGCAAACTCTGACAACTTACTTTCCATCAGGATGAACTCTTCTCACCATAATTCTGTTGAAATCAAATTACAGAACAAAATAGTGAGAAATAAGTCAATAATGGAGAATAACTTACAGTGAAATACTGAAATGTAAGTGTAATTCTCTAACGATTTCATTCATCTGTGTTTGTGGCTCCAATATAATTGACATGTATTTATATTAATAAAGCAGCTATAGTTCAATTACAATAATAACCTTGGTTGGTTACACAAAGGTTGCCAACTGAATTGGAATCTTGCAAGAGGAAGTGGCTGCACTCACAGATAAGCAGCAAGTAGGATATAATGTGGATTGGTGAAGAGGTAGAGAACTGGAGTAGTTGTCACAATCACTGGCCCTCAAGTTGAGAGGTGTACCATGTCAAGAGGAAAAAGGGAGCAGAGAGGAAAGATCATCTTAGTTTTAGGGGTCACAGTGTGATTTTCGTTAGTCAACCGTATAAGAAAATTTACTCGTCTCAGTGTAAGAAATATTTATCCTATCTCTTATTACAATAATTTTATAATTTTAATATTTTTCAAATCAAATTTGTATTTTCATTATCTAAATATGAGCATAATTTTATATCGGTAAAATTTTTACTATATAACCTTTGATATGTGATAGATCACATAAATATGAGCATTTAGATAGGAATATATTGAATTTTCATCGATCAAACTGAAAGATATGATTTTTTTGAAGTAGAGACATAGCATACAAATTTGATAGATTTTTCTGTATTTATATATTTCTATATTTCACATGTGATATTGACTAACATTACATAAAAAAAAAGATAATTGATACGTCATCACAAAATTAGCTTGATCGAGCACGAATCTCGAGGCAAAAGCTAGTTGGAGACTTCAAAAATTAAATCCGGGAGCATTCGAACTCTGATTTCAACGAGCTTAAAGTCAAACTGAGCGTCTCGGAAATACGAACCCAACGACACCAAGATCGACCCAATCCGAGCCCAAATGAGTCCGAATCAAGGGTTCAAAGCGCTGTCGGAAGGTTCAAACCGCAATTTGAGTTACCAAACGGTCTCCGATTTTGACTAGCTTATACTTGAATCGAACGGCTCGACGAGACAAATCCAACGAGCCCAAGATCACTAAATTCCGACGTCATTAAGCCCTCAAAATGGCCAACAAACGGTGCACGGTCATAGGATTCAATATCGGCCGTCCATTTGACCACTCCCTATTCGCCCCTGATCTCACGCCTATTTACGGGCCATGCCACTCCAGAAAATCTATAAATAGAGCCCTCATTCTTCACAAGAGAGGATCCAAGCTAGAGAGGAAGACGAGAAGAGAAGGAAGAAGAGAAGGAAGGAGTTCCTCCTCGACAGCCGCCGGACCACCGCAGAACCTCGCCGGACCACCGCAGGAATCTCGTCGGACCACCGCCGAACCACCGCAGGAACCTCGTCGGACCACCACAGAACCTCGCCGGAACACCACCTTAAGGCCCGACGTTCAGTCCCTACGTCCTGCCAAAGACCCGACGTCTTGTTCAAGGCCCGACACTCAGTCCCTACTTCCTGCCAAAGACCCGACGTCTTGTTCAAGGCCCGACACTCAGTCCCTATTTCCTGCCAAAGACCCGACGTCTTGTTCAAGACCCGACACTTAGTCCCTACGTTCTGCTGAAGACCCGACGTCCTACTCAAGGCCCGACGTTCAGTCCCTACGTCCTGCAAAGACCCGACGTCTTGTTCAAGGCCCGACACTCAGTCCCTACGTCCTGCCAAAGACCCGACGTCTTGTTCAAGGCCCGACACTCAGTCCCTACTTCCTGCCAAAGACCCGACGTCTTGTTCAAGGCCCTACACTCAGTCCCTATTTCCTGCCAAAGACCCGACGTCTTGTTCAAGACCCGACACTTAGTCCCTACGTTCTGCTGAAGACCCGACGTCCTACTCAGGGCCCGACATTCAATCCCTACGTCCTGCCGAAAACTCGACGTCTTACTTAAATAATTGATTGTAATCTGTTCACCCCTGGAGGTGATTCAGTCCTTTGTAACCAATTCAAAGTCTAGTGGAATCATTTTCAACTGGGCTAGGCCTCGTGGTTTTTCCCTTTTAAGAGTTTTCCACGTAAAAAATCTTGTGTTCTCTGTGTGTGCTAGTTATACGTGCAACGCTAAGACGCAAAATTAAATCTCTATCGCCCCGTATTTTCTAGCCCGCAACAATAATATTTACATGTAAGCAAAAAAAAAAAAAACTAACTAACTATTAACACTATAATGAATACAAGCTGGCTGTTAAAATATAATATCTTACTTAGGAGGATGGACTGATGTGATTTCCATTAAATAAAAAGTCAGCAGTGTAATCCTATTTGTATCCTATAACTAATTGGCTGAATTACACCAACGGGTAAAAGGTAACAACTCTTAATTGATTACTGAAAGCCAAATATTAAAATAAATGATTAATAAACATAAATGAAATATAAGATGAGATTGACATATTGATAGCTATGACAAATAAGTAATGTAAGAAAATATCACATTAAATCTAAATGTCATGTCTTGCTTAGTACATAACACTAATTGACATATTGATAGCTCATACTGGCATTAATATTGATACAATATTGCATAACATATTAACATTATTCATTGGGTGATAATATTCTTTATCATATATCTTTTGACTTCATTGAACATATTAATTTTGTTATTAATTTTGAATATTTTTATTGCTTATATAAAGTGAAGATTAATAGTGATTAGAATTGAACATACATATTGATTCTTTTGCCTTGTATTGAATATAGAGATAGAGTTTTGGTTTCGTGCTGAGTTTTTTTTATTATTATATATGGTTTAAATAATTTCAGGTCAAGCAAAAGGTCATGATCAGTTGGAGTGAAACTATTAGATATCCTTGGGTTTTCTTTAGATATTGTTTGGTATTTTCTTTTATTTTTTTGTAGTTAGAAGTTTGTGATATATTAGTGATTGTAATGATCTCATGTTTATTGTATATTAATTTTGAGGGAATGAATATGGTATAATATTTTGAGATATATAATTGTTAGTTATTTTTGTTGGTTATTATTTATATTGATGATTTATAGAAGTTCTACATAATTAATTTAGAAGATAAAATAGATAATTCTTTCAAATTTAATTCTGATGCATTACATTTACAAATTGTCTACTTGTCTCTAAGAAGAGTGAAACTTGGAGTATGCAATGCTTTAGTGAATAACTGAATATGTTTGGTAGTTGATCTTTGGTGGATATATGGTGAACAAAAATAAGTTTTGAGTTTATGCATTCTTGAATGAAATGGTGATCAATCTCGATGTGTTTTGTGCGAAATAAAAAATGGGATTGCTAGCAATGGTTATAGTTGAAATATTATCACAGAATAAAGGTATAGTTTCAAGAGAAAGCGAGAAGTCCTGACATAGGCAACGAAGCCAAATGAGATCGATTGTCATAGCAGCTAATGAGCGACATTCAGCTTCTATAGATGATCAAGGTACCATAGTTTATTTTTTGACACACCAAGAGAGAACAATGTTGTCTAGAAAAATGTAGTAGGTTGTAGTTGACTTGTGAGCATTGATGTCACTAGTCATATAAGCATCTGAAAAAGATGAAAGCTTAAGTATTTCTCACTGGAGAGTAGTTGTACCCTTAAGTTAACAAAGTATGCACTTAAGAAGTTGAAAATGGAAATTAAGTGAATTGTGTATGTGCTGACATATTTTGTTTACAACAAAAGCTATGTCCAACAGAGTAGTGGTAATATATTACAATGAGCTTTCTAATTTTTTTTCAATTGATCAGTAGGGTTTAAATAAGGAGTTTTCAATTCAGCTGCTGTGGGGAATATGGAGGGTAGAGGATTGAAGAGGGGCTTGCATGATAACATGCCAGCTTTGTTGAGAAGTATCTAGATATATGTTTGTTGAGAGAGGTGGTAGCCTCAAGAAGTTAAAAGTAACATCAATGTTAATGAAGCATTTAAGGGGGCCTAGATTACGCATGTTGAAACGTTGCTGAAGCTTGTTGAGGAGAGAAGTAATGAATGGTTGATCGTTTCCAGTGATAAGAATGTCATCCACATAGATTAATATGTAATTTTGTACATGATGATGATGATATATTAAGAGAGAAGTATCAGCTGAGCTAGTGTGGAATCGTTGTTGATTTAGGTTAGTTGAGAAAGTAGTGAGCCACTGGCGAGGAACTTGCTTTAGACTATAGATAGTTTTCTTAAATAAACACATCCCATATGAATAATATTAGGACAAAAATTTATTTTTGAGGGGGACATAATTCCAAAATTATCTCTTTTTTTTACTATATTTTATGTGATATAAAATAATTCCAAAATTATCTCAATTATACATTTAATTTTTTTTTATGGCACTTGAGTGGGGATTCTCCAATGCATGAATTTAAAAGTTATTAAATTTATTTTAAGATTAATGATGTATAGAAAGAGTTTATATTATATTAGTTTTAAAATAAATTTAATAAATTTAAAATTTATGCTGATATAATATATCATGATGAAATTTTTTTCGTAAACTAATTCCTCAAAGCCCAAACTGCCAAAATGCTAGTCGCTTAAGAAATTTGTAATAACCACAAAAAACAATGGGCATTATCGTCAATCAAACCTATAAATACCCCTAACCAGGGGAACTGCCAAGTCCGCAGTCAGGCGCTCCTTTCCTGCTTGATATATATATAATATATCATGATGAAATTTTTTTCGTAAACTAATTCCTCAAAGCCCAAACTGCCAAAATGCTAGTCGCTTAAGAAATTTGTAATAACCACAAAAAACAATGGGCATTATCGTCAATCAAACCTATAAATACCCCTAACCAGGGGAACTGCCAAGTCCGCAGTCAGGCGCTCCTTTCCTGCTTGTCGTTTCATCCTCCGGCCGTCGAGCATCTCAAAATCTCGACAAAGAAGATGACCAAGATTTACCCTAATTCGCCGCTCCCCGAATCTCCTGTGCCATCCATTTCCATTGGCGCCGGCGAGGAGCCGGCCAACCTCACGGTGTGGCGGAAGTCCCTTCTATTCAACTGCAGCGGCTTCACCGTGTACGACGCGAAGGGAAACCTCGTCTATCGCGTCGACAACTATTCCTCATCTAGCCTAAACGAAATCGTCCTTATGGACGCCATTGGCAAACCCCTCTTCACCATCCGCCGAAAGGTACTAAATCCCCTCAATCTCCTCGCATAAGAAGTTCGTTCTCTGCTCCGCGGCCTTTTTTTTTTTTTTTTTTTGAATGGTGCCTGAGTCTATTCGTTCTACTTTCCATTGATGCAGCGATTTACTCTTACGGATCAATGGAACATCTACAAGGGGGAAGCAGCGGTGGCGACGAAGCCCGTTTTCTCGGCTCGGAAGCATGTTGCGCTCGTCCAATCAAAGTCACTGGCTCACGTGATCCCCTGTGGTGTTGCAGGCAAGTTAGCCGAGGCGATATACGACGTCGAGGGTTCTTTCTCGCAGAGGTCATGTGTAGTCTACGACGAGAGACATAAGCCGGTGGCGGAGATTCAGCGCAAGAAGGCTGTCGGAACCGTCGGTTTCGATGGCGATGTTTTCCGCCTCGTCGTCCAGCCCGATTTCGACGCCTCGCTCGCCATGGCGGTTGTGATTCTTCTCGAGAGGATGTTTGGGTCGCGGGTCGCGTCGATTAAGGGCTGAAATTTTTCATTGAATTTTCTGATGAACGGTAATGATTTCCTGTTTTGATGTCGGGGAAGTTTTGTTGTTGGTGATTCATTATTGTTAACCTAGGCGTGTTTGCCTCTAACCTGAGGACGGTGTAATTTGTAAATTGATTCCCCGAGAATTTAACTTGACTGATTGACCTCGAATGACTCAGAAAGAAATTTTTAAAAGTTTTCAATCATGAGCTTGTTCCGATCTATATTAATTACGTGTCATATATGATCATTATAACATCTTTAATATTATGCATTAAAATCGTTCTCATCATTTTTATTCATATTCCTGTATATGTAACTGTTGCATTGCAATTATATAATGAAGTCTCATTCTTTTGGAAACAATAATTTTCAATCAATCATGTGATCAGTTCCTGTAAATTATGTATTAAAATAATCCTATAATTTTTTTCGTATGTCAAGTTTCTTTGGTCTTGTAATTATTATTTTGCATATTGTTTTTTAACAAAAATATTTTACATATTAGTTAGTAAGTAATTATATTGGGTGATTGGTTAATGTCTTTTGGTAAGAACATTATGATTTTTTTTTATATAACACATTTTTTTCTCTTAACTTAAACAAAAGCATTATTAGTTTGCCTTGCACTATTTCATGTAAAATTATTCTGTGCGGATATGGACGACGTCTGGAGACCAATCAGAACACGTCACGTCACTTTTTTATTGTGTATTGCAGTTGTGTACCACTATGTATTGGGTGATGTTGTGTGTTCTGATTCGCTTCGATGCTTACTTGTTGTATCTCATACATATGATGCTCGTCGTCATTGCACTACGTTGGGGATCTAGTTGTCACTACCGCTATCGGAACCTTGCTCACATGCAACCTCCTTGTGACCTTGCTCGTGTGACGTTAACCATCTCCTGCAACACCGTTGATGATCACGACTAGTGTTGTGCCTAATGCTCTTAAGGTTCATTTATTTTTAATTTAAATTTCTTTTTTGTCAAATCAAAGCAATATTAAAAAATAATATATTATTTTGTTTTATGATCATTAAATAACTCTATCAAGTAAAATTACAATGTTAAAATTATTTTCTTTTCTATCAACTGATGAAGGTAATTAAGGAAAAAATTCTCATTAAACAATCTTTAAACTAGCTGATAAACCATGTTTATCGAAATTTGATTTTTTTTTCTATGTTTTCACTACATGATAAATATCAATTTGTGACCAATAAAATCACAATAAAACGGGACACAAATGGGTTTTGGCATTGAGTAGGAGTGGTTGCAAAGCTTCTTGTTGCAAAAATTTTGCCGCAAGACAGAATGGTTGCAAATATTTGTTGTAACAAACGATTAGATTTTGGCTTCCTATAGGACATCTTCCTTATTATTTTCTTAAGCAACTATTTAGTAGGAAGAAAGCTGTTTCAAATGAAACCTTTGTAACAAGACACATATAGTTGAAGCTCTTGAGCAATATTTTATGAGTGACATTCTTTACAAATGCCTACATTATAAATTTCATATGAATTATTATGAAAATATATATAATATTTTTGCTTTGTTTTTTAATTTACATTCACACTAATTGCCCTCCATTTTATTTTTTATTTGCTCTTTGGAAGAGCTCATTTTCACTAGTGCTCTTTTAGGCTCTTATAATTAATAATAAAATCAGTGATCGATATTTTTGAATATTTATTTTAATTTTTTCATAGAAATAATACCACTTGACAACCATGTGGAGCAAACAAAATTAACCCTCCTAAAGACTATGATAGCCCCTTCAAAATCAACTTGTTTGAGAAAACCACCCTTGAGGACTTTTGCAAGTCCTCACTAACCCATTGTGAAATAGATTAGAGATTTACTTCTCTTTAGCCACTAGAATATTATGCCAAAGAGGAGGCTCGCATGAGAGAAAATTTTACAAAAGCGAAAAATAGGATGTGGGGTAAATCATCAAAGAGCTCGATTTTAAGAGAGCTAACATGGGTGTCGCCGCAAAGCTCAACTTTGGGATAGACCTTGTCGGTGAGATGAAGGCGGCATTGATTTGAGTAGAAACATCGTTATATGAAATTAGGATTCAGAGGTTGGGGTATTGTGAGTTTGGGAGTAAATCCGCCACTGGGTCAAAAATTTTGTCAATAAAAATTCTCTCTCCCATATTTTTTTAAAGTGATAAGTATAATATTTAAATAACATTTTGATTTAATATTAATGGTTTTGGCCTAATTTTGGTAACTTTAAGATAGAGTTTGGAGGCATTAGTGGTTCAAAAGTTTGATGTTAATATCAACAATTTTGAAACAAAATTATCAAAACTTGTTGAAACAGGCCAAACTAAAAATTTAAGCCAATTTTGAATAGTAGTTGTTCAAACATGATCAATATAATGATTTTGATCAACATTAGATGAAACTTAAAAATTTGTTTGAAATTATTGATATGAGTCTAGGTGCAAGATTTAGAACTCATTAAATTATAGAACATCTTGCGACAATGTTTTTTAGAATATTTTGATTAAGATTTGATTTTGATGTAGTATCTGTCCATTAATTTTATTTCATAATTAATGTAATAAAAATTAATTGGTAGCTTAAAATTATATTTAATTAAAATTTTTTGCATTAAAAGCAAAAAGCAATTAGAAATTTTTGTACTAAAAAACTATTTTAGAAAGCAATGAAAAAGCTGTCCCAAACGAAGCTCGGCGCCAACATGGACAAATTTCTGCCCGTTTGATCACATAGTTCGCCATGAACCATGAGAACACCAAAACAAAACAATGAGCAATACTATCTAACACAATTTTCACTATAATGTCTCACTTCTTTTTTTTTTTTTTTTTTTGACTTCTTCAATATATTAATTTGTAAGTGATCGGTCCATGGACTCTGCTTTTTATCAGCCCATGTGCTAACTTAGAAATTGGTGGGCTGCTGAGATCTGCTTCGATTAGGCTAATTGGGCTATAACGTAATTCAACTGCGTGGTCAAGAAAAAGGCCCTGAAGCATTAAGAAGAATGATAATAAAGGCACAAATATTAATATTAATATGTTTCGTAATGATATGTTATGAAGAAATTTAATTATTCTAACCCTCATATGAGTTTAAATCTAGGGAAAACCCCTACTACTTAATTTTTTTACATAGATATTACCAAACAAAGATTTGTGGTTAAACTCACAAAAAAATAATGTTACTTTTAGGGGCTATTTGGTTGAGGAAAAAAAAATAAAGTGTAAAAAAAGTACATTATTATTATTATTATTATTTTTTTTTTGTGTTTGGTTGAACAAAATGTATAGTAAAGTAAAATCATAATGTATTAGAGACTCTCTATTGCAGTTCATTTTAGGTGTAAATGAAACCCGCTATACTTGAGTGAAAAAGAAATTCGCCTGCACGAGAGAAGCCCGCAATAACCCTTGTTCATTTCTTACTCGTTGTTGCAGAACCATAGTCGTTCTTCCTCCATCATTGCTTTGGAGGCTTTTCATCTTTTCTATTTTGGTGGTGGCTATTAGACTTCGATGCTTATCGTGAGATAGAGTTATTCGGCTCCTTTTTTTATATTCCACTTCACTCCTTCGATGACTTTCCCTTCCTCTCGGATCGGAAGGCACGACATTCAGAAGTAATTACGGTAGCTCGCTTACAGTGAAGGTTATCGTCTTTCTCCCTTCCACATGCTTATTTGGCCAAATCTTGTTCGCTTTCGGTCGGGCCTTAGGCCAAGTCACGTAAATCCGCATAAGAGGAAGGCCGTCGGGTTTAGCGGCCGATGGTGGTGCAAGGAAGCACCACCTATTTTACATTAAGATTATTATAGTTGGTTCAAGTTTATTTTAATCCTTGTTGTTAGTGCTATAAGATAATGTAAGGATTTAAGAGTCAGATTTGTTAGGTAGATCAGGAACATATATCAACATACAAAGTCAGAGTTTCTGAATAATGTAATTCAGTGTTATTGACACACTTTTTGATTGCCAACATTTTTCTAACTCCATATAAAATAATAAAAGGAAATGGTACATGCAAATATTATTTAGCTTGTCATGATTACTCTATCAAGGAAGATTTCATATATTCGTAGTGGTATCCAACCTAGAAATTATAAAGAGATATTTAATTTTGACATTCATCACTTTGCTCAATTGTGGAGCATGCATTTGGGTCATTAAAGATCCGACTTGTAATTTTAAAATGTCGCTCATACTTTCCATTGGAGACTCAAGTTGAGATTGTAATTGTCTGTTGTATTTTGCACAACTGGATAATTATAGAGGGTGGTGATTACTTAATTTTTTCAGAAGATGAGTGCAGATTAAGAAGCCGTGTTAGAAAAAGATATGAAGCTATGCAAGATGATTCTCAAGAATGGTTGGAAAGAAGAGATCAAATTGCTTTTGTTATGTGGAGTTGCATGGAGAATGTTAGCTTTTAAACGCATTAAATATAAGTATTTATGGTGTATGTCACTTTTTGTATATGTACTTTCGTAAGGGCTTAAAGGATTTTTTTTTTTGCTTTTATATGTTTCTACACTTTTGTTGGCGACCTAGTTCTGTAAATGTCTTTTTTGAAGAAAAGTATATAGTCGTGATCGTTTTTCTAATAAGATTTTTTATTAATGTACACATAATTTTTTTAAATATTATAAAATTATCATTATTAATATGAACTCAAACTATTTGATCAAATTATAATATTTTCACTTTACTCTACAAACACTAAATAAAACGACCTTCAACTATTCATAATACATTGATTTACTTTACACTATATACATCCAACCAAACAGAAAACTAATTTCCCTATATTCACTTTACATACAACCAAACAACCTTCAAGTATTTACTTTATACTACATTCACTTTACGGCTAATAAAATTGTTAGAAGCCTTTCCACGTGTCAAGCCTTGTATGGTTTACAAGGTTAACGTTAGAAGAGGACCGTACCTTTCTTTGTCCATTTTCGCTATATATGTATATACCCTGTATCAAAAACAAGTAACGAAAATATAATCTTTACTTTCTCTGAGAAAGCTTCTTCATCTCTCTCTCGTACACCCTCTCTACCCAAGGGAATCACGAGACTTCTCTCTCAACATGGTATCAGAGGTCTCAGGTTCTATCTAAGACCGCCTTTTTCCTTGCCTCATGTCGACAGACACAACAGCGTCCGCCGCTCAGCCAGCC